CAGCTTAAGTAGTGCAAAGACCGCCGCGGCATAGTTATTTAATAACAACAACAACAACTTTCTTGGCCGTATTATGAGGCTCCGCGCAAAGAAAAGGAGAAGTTAAAAGCTACTGATAACCACCACTGCGGCGGCCTGCCAGTAAAAATTGGATACTGGCAGTCCGCGTTCCGCAACAAGTTGTGCCGTCCATCTAAATGCTCATCAGAGGCCGCGGAAGATACGCGAAGGAGGATGGACGTTATGGATGGAGAGAGAAAGAGATAGAGAGGGAGGGACGTAGGGCGCCGGGAGTGAGCGAGAGGGGAAGAGGCGTATGATAAGATGACGGGGCTGGATAAGAGACGCGCGGGCGAAGCGGAGGATGGGGAAGCGCCACAGGGTGAGGTTAAAGGAGGAGGAAGACAAGAGGAAGGCGGCCGTGTGTGTGTGCGTATGTGTGTGTGTATCTGTGTGTGTGAGTCTGTTTTGTGCGTGTGAGGGAGCGCGCTTCCACTAGTGGGTCACAAGGCTGCGTCCCGTCCCGGTCCCGTCGTGTTGTCCCTGAGGAATTGGGGCGAAGCTGCGCAAAGCGATGCAAGCCGCGTGGTGTGGCGCGGCAGGGCGAGGCGGGGCGGGGTGCGGCGGGGGGCAGGGTGGCCCACTGCTGCGCTGCTGCCCTGCCGCCAGGGGCCACGTGTTGGGCTATGTGGGGTGCCGGGGGCCGGGCCGGGCGCGGTGGCACGCCGCCAACCCCGCCAGCGGAGAAGGGCGCCAAGCTGTGCACGCGCGCCGCGCAGCACGCGGGTGCCATCCCGGGGGCATGGAGGAGGAGGGCGACCTCTAGGAGGGCGTCGCGTCGTGGAGGCGAGGGGCGGCGGCTGCAGGAGTGGGGCGCCTATAGAGACCGGCTGGTGGTGATTAGCGCCGTGCGGGTCAGCAGCAGCGGTCCTGCGCCCTGGAGAGGAAGTGACTCGCGACTTACTTCCCGGAAGTGCCCCCAGCACGGCCGAGGGCAGGTGAGGTGGCAGGCCAGGCCAGACCAGGCCAGGCGCCGGCGGCAGGTGCCTAAAACTGTCTGCGCGCCTGACAGCGGCAGGAGCAGCAGCAGCGGTGGCAGCAGCAGCGGCAGCAGCAGCAGCAGGCGCGACAAGCACCGGTAGCGCCGCGCCAGGTCGGGTCAGGAGAAAGGGGTGCGCGGCCTGCGGGCTGCAGGCTGCAGCAGGGCCGGGCGGCCACCACCGCAGGACACGGCACCGCAGGACGCCACGATAGAGCGCCGCGCGGAGGACACGGCCGCGCCGCAAAAGCCAAAGCCGCACGGGGAATAGGGAAGAGCGGAGCGGCGAGGAGCAGGTTTTCACGCCGTAAAGACGCCGGCCACATTGGGCGGCCCCGGACGAACGGATGGACGGCCGGACGGGAGAGTCTCGGGTCCTCCTCGACCTCCTCCTCCGCCCTCCGCGCCGCCAGGGAATGACCGCGGAGAGACTCGTCTGCTCGACCTGAGATGCTGGAGGAGGCTGCAAAATACGTTTATAATAACGAGGCAAACGTCCTAGCTGTAGCTAACGCGCTGAACGGACTGCACGGCACACACACCTCTCATTCGCAGAGGGCATACAGCCGCAGCAGAGCTCCTCTGGTGTGGCAGGCCTCGACCCACTTGATCCTCTCTCTACATTTATCCGGCGCATTGTCCATCAAAAGAGCACCGGGACAGAACAGGAATGCGCGCACACACACAAACACACACGCACGCGTGCGCGCACCTGCCTCAACCCCCCCC